TGGTTAAGAGACAGTCTGTCAACATTTCCCTTGCTTGGGGCTATTCAGAGGAAGGGAGCTGTTCCCTGGAGTGGTTCAACTGTGTAAATACTGTAAAAATTAAGCAGCACTGAGGTATAAACTAGTAGCTCTAAGCCCTTCTTTGGGGTCAAGTAGAAGAGATGCTGCAGCACCACCAGTCTCACACCATAGCATCTTCCCCCCAGGGTGCCAGGGTCATGTTTTGGAACAAAGTGCATTTTCATAAAGTTTTTTTCCCCCCTCTATCTTATCACCAACAGAGATAAAAACGGCTGCTAAAGATGCAGCAGTGGCTGGGCCAAGCTGTTCCAGCAAAGTTATTTCTGTGCCCCTTCCCACCACCCCTCCTCAAAAGGCAGCTGGATGGAACAGGGGACCAGCTCTAACCCCCAACAAAACCAGAAGTTAGGCCAAACCCAAGATCTCTCCTGGAAATGGAAGCAGAGCACTGAGCCCAAGGCACCTGATCAACAAACACATTTTCAGTTGTGGTTCCAATCAAGACACAGAAAGAAAGAAAAACCTCCTCCTGCCATGGAAAATGAGAACAGCCCAAAGGAGACCCAAAAGGCAACACAGCTGCACTCCACAGCCCCAACCATCCCCTCAAAACCAAGGCTTGCAATTCCCAGCAGGTTCAGCAGGATAACACCAATCACCCCACACAGTTTTCCATGTTTAGCAGCCATGAAACAACATCAGTGACCACAGGAACACAGGTGGGGGCAGAGGCAGCAGCACCAGATCCCATTTTGCCGTCCATCATCACTCCAAAACAAAAAATGCCCCAGTCCAGTGATGAAATAATTGCAGATTGGCACTCCAGGAGATAATGCCACTCATTAGGACATTGTTTATGGTTCATCTACGTGGCTCCCATGGCTACAGCAACAGGGATGATGTCTGTGAGCATTTAAGAGACATTATAAACATGCATTTTGTCTTCACTCAGTTTTCCCCAAGTGAAACATCACCACGTAAAGCCTCACAGACAGGGATGTTTCAGCATTAATTAAGAGGAAAAAAAGCAGAAACAGGTAAGCAGCTCTCCTGTGCTCACCTCGAAACTGAATTCCAACCCTGAAATCCAGCACTCTGGTGAATGTAAATGGAATTCAGGAGGTATCCTCCATCCTTAAACACAGCAGACACCCAGCACAGACAACACATATCATCACTAAGCAGCAAAGCCCATTGCAAACGCATCAAGCCCTGCCTTACTTTAGCGAATTAAATAATTCAACAGCTGGAAGGGTTGGTTCGTGGTTTTTTTTTTTTTAGATTTCCTGTCCAAACGCATCGCCCAGCAACAGAGTAGTGCTTCAGTTTGAGGAGGTTTTTTTGCAAGACCACAACTTACCTGCACTACTCCTTTAACAGAGATGCTGCTCCAACAGCTCCAGTCCCCTCCCGGCCGCTCCCCCCCCCGGGATCCACCACACTTGTTCCCAAATCCCACTCGCTCAGGTGGCCGAGGCAGCGGCGGCGGCTCGTGCTTTTTCTATGGCTCCAACGTTAATCCATCCAGGGCATCTTTCCCCCTCACTTCCAATTGGCGAGCGGCGGATGGGTGGAGTGAGAGCGCGACCCATTAGCTCCCAGATGGGCTCCTCGATCCCGGCTCTCTCCGAGCCGGGAGCCGCTAATTCCACACACCTGCACGGCAACCTCTGCACATGCCACCAACCGCCCCGAAACCCGGGATTTGGGATTTCTCCTCCAGCCACCCAGATCCCGCCGCCTCTCGGAGCTCCTCGCCTCTGCCAGCGAGGAGGAAAAGCAGGATAATTAAAGTGACCCAGCGGTTGGGAGCCGCAGAGTTTTGCTGGATGCTGTAGGGAGAAAGCTCCTGTTCCTCCTTAAAAAAAAAAGCCAGCTTTGTGGCAGCCAGGCTCAACCGAAGTGAGAAGATGCTGTACCTTACAGAGAGAAGTACAGGGAAAGCCAGAGGATGTGAAGATGCACGAAGAAGAAGGGGGGGGGAAACCTGCTGCTCAGAGGTAGATACAGCAAATTTCTTAAAGATACAGCTGCCTGCCCGACTGCTGGGCTCTGCTTGGTTTATCCAGGCAGCAGTGCAAGGGTTACTGCATGAATTGAATGAGCAGCCTGCATATGGGAATG